TTAGATGGTGGAAAGCTGTGGCGAAGCAGATTGCCGGGAGCCTTGGGAGTGAGTCTTTGGGGTCGGTTTTGGTGGAATTAGATGGTGGAAAGCCGTGGCGAGCAGCCTTGGGGGTGAGTTTTTGGGCCGGAAGCCTTGGGAGTGAGTCATTGTCGTCAGTTTTGGTGTGGAATTAGATGGTGGAAAGCTATGGCAAAGCAGATTGCCGGGAGCCTTGCGAGTTGGGGTCAGTTTTGGTGTGGAATTACATGGTGGAAAGGGTTATGGGCTTCCAAAGGCGACGTTGGGCATTCGACGCTGCTGTTAGGGTTTTGGTGTGGAATTAGATGGTGGAAAGCTGTGGCGACGCAGATTGCCGGGAGCCTTGGGAATGAGTTTTGGGGTCAGTTTTGGTGTGGAATTAGATGGTGGAAAGCCGAAGCAGATTGCCGGAGCCTTGGCGGTGAGTTTTTGGGCCGGGAGCCTTGGGAGTGAGTCTTTGGGGTCAGTTTTGGTGTGGAGTCAATCAGATGGTGGATAGCCGGGAGGCTTGGGAGTGAGTCTTTGGGGTCAGAACAGTGATTGCCGGGAGCCTGGGGATTGAGTCTCTGGAGCTGTCTCTGGAGCTATAGAGAGATTTGGAGCGGGCTTGTGCTTCTGCACAGCAAAGCACGTCAGGCGGTCCAGGCACACCAGCGACAAGGCTTGCCGTTGGGCTGAGTGTGTTGTATCTGATTTCGACCTGTCAGCTTCGTCGAGAACACAGCCGTGCCTGATGGGCTCCATGTCTGAGGAAGATGCCGTCAAGTATTGGGAGCACTGCTCAAATCATTGTGCATCGTTTCGGGCCAGGATTTTCTGAACTGGAAACGCCAGAATTCTTTGGACGTGTCGCAACCATGGTTTTCATGTGCTCGGTTATGTCTCATTTTTGGGCTGTTTGGCTGGGACCTCAGCATTTCGAACCGACGTCCCGGGTGGGTTTTGAGATCCCCCTGACATCCCCGATGCTTAGGGCACGGTGGTTTCAGAGTAGAGGGGTCGGCGGCACCAGGGCGTTAGCCCTACTTATTTGACTTCCCCAAACGTTAAAACAAGGATGGGATTTTGTAATTGTCACTCATCTTTGCTGCTGTTTCAGTCCATGTTTGCAAGTCCTTGCATTTCTGGCTGGCCTTGTCTGCGGATCTGACAAATTTCATAGCAATGGGATTGCAGTTCCACCGCTTCGTTGGAGGTTTCATGTATAGCAAGGCGGCGACTTCCCCTTCGACCATGGTGCTTTTTTTTTCTCTAAGTCTAAAGGCTCTGGGCTACCTATTGACTCTTCAAAGAGATGTGCTCCACAACACCAAAACTTCACAAAAACGACACTGGTGGCAAACCTTCGCCAAGGTGCACCTACCATCGCAGTGAACCGCCTCGCCATCTTCATTGATGACTCCTCAGCGAAGAACTCCGCTTAAGTCCAGGAATTCATATTGACTTGCTGTTGAGGGCGAGAACACCACCGCCAATTGAAATGGTAAAGTGCAATCTATCAGGGCTTCCCAGCGTTCGGCGGGATCAGTCAGCAAGCAATTGTGTGTCCTTGGTGACTCTTCACTGACTCTGGATGTCTCTGGAGTGACACCTTACTCTGGGCCATCGGGGACTGGGCAAATCCAATACCTGCGGCTTCTTCAGCAACAAAGCTCTGAAGGCCTCCGCGGAGCGCCATTGCTCTGGAGCCACCTGCGACAGAGCAGACCCGCATGGTAGAACTTGACGGCCGTACTATGGTATCTGACTTGCCAGCACCAGGGTCAATGAACCGACAAAAAACTTCAGGCGAAGAACATCACTATGCTCCTGATCGGCGCTGATTGGACGCCATGCCTTGCCTCCAAAGCTTTCTCGTAAGAGGCCCTTGGATCAAGCAAGTATACCTGTGCAAATGCTCTTTCTGTCTACGCATTGCCACAAATGGGTACAGATGGGTACAGCATCAACATGCAATGCATCAAACCTGTATCTTCTACTTTCCTCCCATATAGCTCGTGTCACTCACAACAAAGTTGTGCTTTCAAAGCTAACCGTACCGGCAAAGATCGAGATGCTAAATTGTACCCTGGGCTACCAAGGTGAGGTGGTTTGCAAGCACATGCCTGCGGTTTCTTTGCCAGCGCCACTTTCAACTGCCTCAAACCCATTCTGACACCGAAGGAAATGGAAGGGCTGAGGGTGATCTGCAAAAGGTTGGAACTTCAGCACCAGCATGTGTGTAGAGTTCTATTCACGAACTCAGTCGTGTCGAAACTTCTAAAATATCTAAAATCAACTTTGGGTGTGATGAAGGTCTGCCAGCCTCAGGCTGGCAGCGCCACTACTTCCAATCTTTCTCTATACAGGGCTTTGAGGCCAAGGTGCTGAGGACTCAGTTGAAGCGGCCCATCACTGAGCCAGCGCAGCCTGAGTGGCAGTTTCTTGGTCTATATATATATATATTCATAGGTTTATTTATATATTTGCTTAATGTTCAGTATGTTTAAATCCAGGTAGATGCCGCCAATTTCCTCCCCGCCAGAAAATAGATTTTCCCTTGTCTGAATGAGCAAATGAAAACCGAACTCGAAAAACCTTCCAAAAAGGACAATCAGGTTGCAAAAGCAAATCCATTCGATCCCCTTGAGAGGAAACGCAAGGATTGCTGAGATCCGTGCACGGCTCTCCGGGCTGAAAAACCTTCTTCCCACCGACTAGGAGTCCCGGCGCCTGGGTAATCTGCTCAGGCGCCTCAGGCCATGGTCATAGTCAGTCATGGAGTAGTCGAGTAGTCTAGTGAGTCTAGTGGTCTTTCTTCACAAAGGTAGTGGGAAACTGAAAGGAAAACTTTGAAGAAACATGAAGAGAGAAAGATTGCATGAGCAAACTACGTTTGTTGGCGTCTTCCATCGGTCCAGCCAGACTGCAGGCACCCCACGGGTGGTAGCTTTGGCTTCAAATAGCTGGGCCTTCGTGTTAGGACTCATTGGATTGCAAGC